ATTGCATTGTGCACTACCAACTGGAGCTCAAAAGGTTTCTTGGTTCTCAAACTGCTCCTCTCTACTGCTATTTACTTCATCTGGTTAGAGAGAAATGTAAGAGCTTTGAAGAATAGGTCTTTCACACCTCATCATATCATTGACCAGATCAGAAAATGCACCAGAGGCAGATTGGCTTCAATTAATCTGAGGTGCTCTACTGACCTTAGACAACTTGGTAATTTGGAGGATTTACAACATCACTTCATGCAGGGATGCAACTTTGCTCTTGCCCAGTCACTCCTAAACTGAGTTTGGTATGGTTCCCCTAGGTCATGTTTCTGCATATGCCTTGCTGTCGTGAGGAATGTTGGTTGCCAGTGTTTTCTTTAGATGCTCTGTTAGCCTCTTGTCTGTGTTGTCCCTTTGGGACCCATATGTATATGCATTTTCATTTATACATGCCAACTTTTTTAACCAAAAAAAATCTTTCTAGTAAACTTTTGTATTGATCAAATATAATTTTAAGAGAACACGTTTGTCTTGATTTTGATGGGATTTTTCGATAATAAAAATAGAAAATAAAAATAAATAAAATGGGGTAGTTATAAAAGTGTCTAGCATTGTGGTGTGTTTAACCCGTTTAAATCTTCATTCAAGACATTATTTCTAGCTTGAAGTAATCTGTTAAAATACAATTTAATTGTGTTAAAAAAAGATTTAAACATCATTAGTTCTAATTTTAACATAATTACTTTGAGAATTATGATATAACTCTAAAAGTCAAACATATCTAACTACATTTATGTGAGTCGGATATGTCCGATATTCGAATGCTATATTTATTTTCTTACCTTGAGCTAAATATAATGTATTAAAACACAATTCGATAGTGTTGAATCTCTGCAAAGAACTTGAAATTCTGATTTAAAAAAAAAAAAAAACTTGAAATTCATTTGTCCTGTAAGCAATATTCCTTTAGGCGTACATCTTTGTCCATTTTTGGACTGATAGAGAAAGTACTGTTGAGGGAGTTGACCTATTCCTCATTTTCCTTTCCTTTCCCTCAGTGTTAAACAAACACCATTTAAGTTGGCCTTTTGAAGTAAAACTTGAGATTAGGGTTTTCAATTGCTTGTTGTCCTCACCCTTTCCCCCAGGTACTTTTGAATCACACACAATTTAAGCTATCTCTATGTTTTCTTTCCTTTTCTTTCTAACATTGTATTTTCTTGGATTTCTTATTGTTTGTTAATTAGAATTTGGTCTTTTCCTCTAACTCTACAAAAGTTCTTCAAACTTTTCACTTTCTTTTTTATACTGATATTTAATAAAAATTATAAAGGTATTATTATGATTTTATTTATTCCTATTATTACTTCATTTTAATTCTACGAAAACGTTATAATTGCCAATTATTCTCAATGGATCAAATTTTTATTTTTATTTTGGATGAATTATATGTAACAATACAAAAAAAATAATAATAATAAAATAAAATAAAAAATGATATGTAACAGTAAAACTAGAATAAGTTGGAAGTACAATTAATAACACGGGAAAAAAAGTATTTATTCAGCTGGAGTACATAATAGCAGAAAGTTGACATTTGATTATGAGGATGTGATGTGTCATATTGTATACTTAAAAGAAAAGAAAAAATTATAGAAAAATATGAAAATCTAATAGTTTATATATATATATATATATATATATATTGGTAAGTGTGTTATGTACATATTCTGGTTGGCCTTTAGGATTGATTCAAATTTATTTTGCTTAAATTTCTTAGTTATTAAAGATATTTTTCAATGGGAAGATCTTAAACACAATGCATAACTATTTTTTTCTTTTTATATTTTCATGAATTTCAGAGTGAAAATGAAAATACTTGCAAAACAATCAAAATTTGTAGTATGAAGTTGGGCTCAAATTTGCGGAAGTGGGGGGATTGGTAGCTCAATTTCCAACCGGCCTTACTTTGGGCCCAAAACAAAACCTAGCCCGATTATCTTAACGTAACTTAGATAAAATAAATAAATTATATATATATATTTACACTAAGCAGACGAAATTTAGATTTTGTATGAAAAAAAAAACAAAAAAAAAAAAAAATTGACCTCAGACTTGCTAGGTTTACTTTCTACTGGGATTAAGCTCTCGAACTCAAGCCCACCCAAAAGAATTGATCAGACCACTATTGATTTGGCTAGCCTGGCCCACAAGAATTTGGTATGCTCTAAGTGGATCATCCGGCCCATGCTCGCCACTGATTGAGGTCATATAAAAGGGTTGAGGGCCTCTAAATAAACTTAATAAAAGAATGAGTGCCTTAGTACGTTCTCACCTTCAAAAATAAAAAGGTGTTGTATCTTAGTTGAAAGTTCTCATCCCTCAAAGTAAAAGGTCGAGGTTCAAGTCTCGTAGAATATATATATATATATATATATATATATGGGTGAACTGCAATAAACTTCCCTTTTATATCCGTGTTTTGCACTGAGGGGGCGATTTAACTAACGAAAGTTAGCTGAAAGGAGAGTTGTTTAGACATTGAATTTTCTGAGTTGTTCGGACATTGAATTTTCTCATATATTTTTTGAGGCAAAAATGCCCCTGCACCTATTTTAATATTCCTCCACATATATATATCTACTCCATCATCACTTTTAGCCGCATATCCTCCACCATTGTAACAACACGTACTCTTCTTCTTGCTTAAGTTCTTTTATTTACCCATCATATATATATATATATATATATACACACACACACACACACGATTATACTATGATACACCAGACCCATATAAATCTGCGTTTTTCCTTAAAATTTATCTATATCTATATATATATATATATATATATATATTTGAGAATTATATTGTGTATTCATTTCTTTGGTTTTTATTGATTTTCATTTTATATTGATTTGTTAAAGGGACACTCGAGAAATGATGCCTAAATTTTTTTTCCTTTTTTTAATATTATTTATGCCTGCACATTATTTATTTATTTATTATCTTTTATATATTTCAAAATAGTTTTTTTCAATAAAAAAATCTATTCCTTCCACGTCACTAATGTGAACTTGACAGTCTAGTAAAATGTTAACACATTAAAAAAATAATAATAGAAGTGTTAATTTCTATAAATGATGTCGTTTATGTTATTTAATAATAAAAAAAAAAAAAAAAAATCAAGACACACTCATAAAGTAGATTTTCAAATAGGCTTAATGGTTATTTAAGTCAATTTTTATTTCAGTTTCCTTTTAATTAACGTCCACTAAGTCACCCCCCTAGATAGTTGAGGATTTTTTTTTAACAAAAAAAATAAATATGAAGGGTTTAATGCAAAATGCAAATAGAAAAAAAGGATTTAATGTATTTCACCTTATATATAATACTAAAACCTTGTAATCTTGTAATATTGAGTATGGTTTGATCAAAATTAGGTGTTCGTAATATTGAGTTTGGTTTATCAAAATTAGGTGTGTTTGGTCATGTCACATTCACTTCTGTCGATTAAAATCAAGGCAATCTTTATACATTTGTTAGGTATTATATCTAATGGTTAGGATCACCTAAAACCTATATATATATGGTTTTTTTGTTAGCATAAAAATTGAATCTAAAAGTGATATATATATATCACATTTAGATTCAATTTTTATGCTAACAAAAAAACCATTTCATAGTGATTTGCAGTTCATCTAAAAAAGGCTAAAAGCACTTGGCCATGAATCTACCTTCCCATATGACATCCACTATGACCTCCCAAATGGTTTCCTATGCAAATGGTTTGGTGAGTATGGTTCATCAAAGTGATGGCCCACCAATTTCATTTTCCTCTCACTTTGTTTTCTTCTTTAGTTGGTGGGTCCATGTATTATTATTTAGAAAAAAAGAGGAAAGGGTTATTTTTATGCAACCATCATGGTCCAGTTTATCATTTTTCTCTTGTTCTGATGTACCAGTTGCACTGGTTGGTGTTTTACAGATGCAACATCAAAATCAAAATTAAAAAAATGTTTATGTTGTTATTGTCATTTTCAGGTGGGATGTGAATTGTATAATTTTGTAGTAGCAAACTAGCAATAGTCCAAAGTCAAAGACTCTACTGCTTTATGTGATTTATATTATTTTATTTTATTTATTTATTTATTTATTTTTGGGGTGTGTGTAGCTCAATCCAAATGCTTTATGCCAACTCAAGTTACTTGATGGGATTTAATCTTGTGTGATTTCCACCGTCTTTGTTTGATGATCAAGCATTGATGAAGACTGCAAATCAGATAGAATGTCTTTTTTGAACTTTCAATGCTACTTTGAAGAACATTCATTATTAATGCAAAAAAATTATGCTATTAATTTTGGGATTTTTTTTGCATTTCGAATTAAACTTTGATAGCTTTCTTTCTAAAATATTACTTCTCCATGTTTTTCAACTTAGTTCGAGCATAAACCAATCAACATTACATAATTTCGTGTAAAAATAAACATAGGTTACCTTCTTTATTATTATTTTTATCATCATAATCATATAAATATCTCAGTGCATTAAAAGTTGAGATATCTCGTGAGACCATCACCAAGAGAGGTCTATTCCCCAAAAATTATTACATGGTTTAGGACGACAACATGATCTCGACCAATCACAATTCAAACGGTCTGATTTGAGCGTCAAGATTTGAGATATTGTTAAATTAACTATCCATTCTATTCAATAGAAGGCATAATGAATATAAGGCCCTCAAAAAAAGTATCTTTCCTTGCTCTCTCAATCCACAAAAAAAGTGTACACCATCTTTTCTTTTTGAACTGTTCCAAAATAATTGTCCACTTTTCTTTTTCAAACGATACATTACACACCTTTTTATAAAGTTTAAAATTTCAATTTAAATATTCAAAACTTTAAGAATAGAAATTAGTAACTTTCCAATTGGACAATAAATATAATCCCCAATCATGTAAAAATTTCTCATATTCTCTTGAGGTTAAAAGAAGACATTTATAGATCTTTTAGCAACGTCTTTTATTATAATTACATTTAACTTTATGTCACTAAACATAGTTGGGAAGTAAACTTCCAAGTACAAAATAGAAGCATTCAAAATGAGACTAATACAAATTCCAACACCAAGGAAAAGAAGTAAAAAGACTAAAAAGCCATCCAAGAGAAGGGTTGAATAAAAGGAGCTTTGGATACCATTAAAACTTCTCCTCCAAGGGAGAGATAGTAGAACTAATCTCCAAGTGTGATAGAAATGGGTCTTGGCACTGCTGCTTATTCTTCCAGGCTAAGCCCCCATCAATGTTCATTACATGTGACATGAACATCCCATCCAATCCATTTACCATATATTTACAGAACAGAAAAACTAAAACTGACCAAAACACCCCCATCCCTTCAACTACCACCAACATATCAATATTGTTACACCACCATATTACACCCTAACAAACTTTTTTAATTTGGTGTTGAAATCTCTTTGCATGCTTAAGTTGGACTCTTGGGGCTGTTTGGTTGTGGGCATTTGAGAGCCTCTTCAAGACCTTATCCCCCATGTGTTACACTCCAACATCCTTCCATTTTAGTTCCTCAAAAATTTTCAATTTGGCATTACACCTCACCTGTAAAGATAAAGTGACAGAATTCAGGTTAGAAAAACTATAGCACTCCTAAAATATACAATATATGCAAATTGTACTTTCAAGATTCAGCATCACAATAATGAATAGACATGCAACAGAAAGCCCGGATCCTCGGCTATACTCCCGTTGCTGTAATGGTGTCGTACACTTTTCAACACATTACACCTGCTTTTCAGGACATTACATCTGCTTTTCAACACATTACGTTTAGCTGAAAAAAGTAGATGCAAAGGTGTTAAAATTAGATGTGATTGTGTTGAAAGTCACTACAGCACCAAATTTTGGAACCTAGAAGAATTCCCATTTTGCACAATGTCACAATCTGCATATTTCATTTTATATATTTCTAAACTAAATGTTCTGATGAGGGCTAAGATCTAAGAAAGCTGATGCGTATAGAACAAGCTGAAAGGGCCACGTCAAACTCATTTACCTGAGGGATTAATGAGTTGCATTTACTAACATTTTGATAATATAAATTTCTTCTATCTTTGCTCAAATTTTCGGCTTAATAATAATTGCAAAAAAACTAGATGTTCCTCAATCTAAGGGAAAAACAGCCAGAGTCCTGTATTAAAAAAAATAATAATAATAAAAAATAAATAAATAAATAAATAAAATTCTATATTGGAGCTTTGGAGAGAATAGAAAGGAAGTGCTTGAGAGGGAAAAGAAAGGAAGGAAGTATGATAAATCTCTTTTGATTGGTGGTTTTAAGAAAGAAAAGAATGAATGAAAGGTGATGATCCTTCCTTTATTTGGCAGTTCACAGAGAGAATGGGGGACAAGAAAAGATTGTTTATTTTGTTAGTAAAGGAAAGAGAAGAATGTTTTATTTTGTTGTAAGAAGGTAAAACAAAAAATCACATCGACAATATGGATAAACACCAACTCATTTTCCTTTCTTTGGTTCTTCCCACTGCTGGAGAGGACAAAAGAATCAAATGTGCCTGCAGAAGTCCCATTCTCCTATTTGTTTTCTTTTTCTCCCCATTTAAAACTTGACAGCTAATCCCATTCTCCTATTTCTCCTCTCTCTCTCTCTCTCTCTCTCTCTCTCTCTCTCTCTCTCTCTGTTTTTTTTCCATTTAAAACTTGACAGCTAAGTATTATCTTTTCCCACTTCTCTCTTCCTTCCATTTCCTTTCCGTTTCTTTCCTCCCAAACATAATATTTATTTATTTAAACCAAGTTCAATTTTCCAAAAATAGGGAAAAGAAATTTCACCACAAAGTTCAAAACCCACCCCAACAAACTCAAAACCACCCCACAGCTTTGCTTAAACATGCAACTGAATAACAATCTCCAAAAGAAAATCATAAAGTGCTTGAATGTGGGCACTTTGGTAATTTGAAAATTAGGTAACACAAAAATGCCAAGAAGAGTGGTTCTTACACTAACAAATTTGGATCATATATTCTACATTTCAACATGAACATGCTGAGTTTGAAGCTTTTTAGCAAAATAAATTTTCACTTTTAGATTTTTATCAATCTTGCAAAAGAAAAGCATTCCAACAAGGGATAAATTACACGAAACTTCTAACAACTAAATTTCCAAATCTTCAAGGGTAGATGAAACTACTATTAGCACCACATATAATGTACATCCACATTCCATACATTGTCCCAAAAAGATAAACCCGAGTCAACCCATCCCAGCTCATAACGCAAACCGATTCAACTCGTAGCACACCAAACACGCAAACCGATTCAACTCATAGCACACAAAAACACAGACATTTACAGCCTATCAAAGAATGTATAGAATTTGAGAAATTCACATACCAGGAGCAGAACTTAGTCCCGGAAAATGACGGTATCCGCGATTTCCAACAAAGGATTCAAGCAATCCGGAGAGAATTTCCTAGCAAACAAGTAGGAATAAGTGGAATTTGACAGCCTGAGCTTGTAAATCAGCTCAGGCGACACTTCCGGTGGCCTGTAAGTATGCGGGTGGCCATTGACACTATCGGTCCAATTCACCCGAGTCAAGGTATAGTGAGTGCACCCTTTTGGGTCCTCCATTGACAACAGAGTCGGAAAATAATGCTCCTCCGGGTAACAAGACTCAATCTTTATACAAGGCAGCCTAAATTTCCTCCACAACCGGCGATCCCGGATCACCGACACCGCGTGACGGCGAGTGAGCACAAAGAACTGAGACCCAACTCGGAACTTCTCAAAGGGTACCTCAGGCATCATCACATTCTTCCCTCTCGCATTGTATCGATCCCAAAGAGTCGATTCTTCGGAGAGTATCTCAATATAGCTCCTATACTCGAAAGCCCGATCCAAATCGGTGGATTTTGGGTCGAAGAGGGTGTGATAGACGAACTTGAACGAGTGTAGTGGAATGCAGTGCTGCGAAATCAGGGCAAAGAATGTGTTACCTGGGTCATCGAGGAGGGCATTGGCGAGGAGGCGGCGCGCGGCGGAGATGAGCGTGGCGGAGCCCCTCTGGGTCCTCTTGGAGGGGATGAATCGATCGGTGAACACTCCACCGGGTGGGTTGATCTTGACGGTGGGGTCACAGTGTATGTAGATGTTGTATAGGTTTCGCTTAGAACCTTTGAAGAAGCGTTCCCACAAGGGAGCGAATTGGAGGTCTGAGTTGGTGAGGAAGAGAAAGGCGATTTTGGGGCGGAGATTGGAGGAGCCAAGACGGGATTTGGAGGAAGGGTGAGGCGGAGATTGGGATTGGGTGTGTTCAGATTGGGCGATGGCTTGATGGAAGAGAGAGAGATCGTCGAGTTCGTCGGGGACAGGGATGGGGAGTTGGCGAGGAGGGAGGAGGAAGTGGTGGGCGAGGAGGAAGAGGATAGGGAGAGAGAGGAGGAGAGCGAAGGTGGGGACGAATGGGGAAGAGAACATTGTGTAGGGGGGTTTTTTGGTGTTTGGAGAGAGGGAAAGTTTAGGGACTGAGGGAAAGTAGAGATTGGGTTTCCATATACATCAGATTTGATCTCTGGGTTTTGAAAATCTCATGGCTTTGGGGAGAGTGAGAGAGGTTTTGATGGGTTAGGGTTTGTGGCTGTTTCAGTGAAGTAGAGAGAGAGAGAGAGAGTTGGGGGAACGAAGGGTGTGGAGTGATCCTGATAGAATGGGTCGGTGGGCCCAGTATGGTGAGATGATGACGTCATATGTAAGGGAGTTTGGGCGTTGGGGGTGTTAGTGAAATTAATGCTACATTACGTGTCTGAATGATATTGGTTGATTATGATTAACGGCGTTAGTGGATGGGTGGGAAATTGACTGACAGTACTCGACCAAGGATTCTTTTAGGCTCAGTTTGGTAGAGTAGAAATGGAAGGAAAGGGAAGGGAATGTGATGGAGGGTAACTAAAAAACTGTGTTTGGGTAAAATGGGTGGAAGAGAAGGGAAGGGAAGGAAAGGGTAGGGTTTGGAGGGTTATGCATAGCCTTCCACAGTGATTTGTTTAACCTCCCAAAAATGGGACGAAATGGAAGGAAAGGGAAGGTAATGGTTGATGATGCCAATTTTACCCTCAAATCAATATACATACAAGATAGCAGGTGCAGAAAGAATGGAGAGACGGTGGGCAACGGCGAACCCGAACTGGAACAGCGACGATGGAAACTTGAAAGATATGGGTTTTGATTTTCTGAACAATCTGATATACTGATACGGGTTTTGAATTTTTGATTCTTGCAGACAGAAAGATAAACTGAAATATATGGGTTTGGGTTTTGAACTTCTGAATCTTGTAGAGAGAGAGAGTTGAGAACGATAATAGAGATGGAGGCCGAGATTGGGAAGGCTGAAATGATTTGCCCTGGATCGGAACCTTCAAGAACGAAGGTGCTACAGCCGGATCTGGATCGCCGTTGTTCAAGAAAGAAATTTTTCTTTCCTTTTCTTGTTTCTTTCCTTTTATTATATATATATATAATGGGAATGGAGTCGAGAATGGGGAGCTGAAATGATTTGCCTTTTTTTTTTTTTTTTTTTTTTTTTTTTGCAGGTATACTATATATATATATATATATATATATATATATATATATAAATAATAAGGGTATAATAGTAAATTTATTATTATCCTTCCCTTTCCTTTCTTATCCCAAATATAATTATTATCCTTTTCTTTTTTTTCCTTCATTGACTAACCAAACACAATGGAGAGTTAAAATAATCATTCCCTTCCCTTTCCCTCATAACTAATCTTATCATCCCCTTCAAATCTACCGTACCAAACATACCCTTAGACTCAGTCCTTTGACAACAAATAAGAAAGAGAAGTAAATGTGAAAAATAGAGTTCAATAGGCTTTTCACATAGTTAAATAGAGCAACAAATACTTAATAGTTAATAATTATGCAAAGAGTAATAATTGGAACCCAAAAAAAGTACCGAATTAATATCAAATTTAACGTGATTGGTCATTCTTATCACGTGTTAAACAATTATTTTTAAAAACAGTTTAAATAAATAAGATAGACAAAAATACGTCAGATTCAATATTTATTCGGAGTTAATTCATTGATCTCCCTATCATTATTTTTACGCAAAAGATGATCTTTTGAAAAATTATTTCATTTTATTAAAAATAAAAAACGAACTTTTTTTTTTTTTTTTTGTTGCTTGGATAATAATATTTGAGCTAGGACGATATCAAAGTGATCTCATTTTAAAATATTATAAAATAAAATTATATGAGACTGTCAAGTTAATTGTATTGTTTGGTTTAAAAACAAGAGTGTAAAATTTTGATTGATTTGCATGATTTGCTGTAAATGAATTTTATTACCAAATTTTGACTATATAATCTCATTTAAAATGGTTAAATTTAGGGGAGGCGATGTCCGCATTTTACTTTTCAACATTTGCACTATCATCTTAAATAAAATGGTCATTCTAACATTAACTTTACAACTAAAGAATTATTACCTTTTAAAGGACACAACTACTCTTTAATATTTTTTTCTTTATCTCTAATTTTTAATATTTTAAGTATCATTGACAACACAAATAAAATAAAATAAAATATTTTTTAAGGGACCAAAAAAAAATTTGTTATGTTGAATAAATTGCCTCAAAAATAGAAAGAAACCATTTAAAAAATTATCTCTTTTGACATAAATAAAAAAAAAGACCACCAAAAAAATATATTTATTGAAGAAATTACTTCTGTTGTCAAGATCCCAAAAAAAATAATTAAAAAAAGTACAAAAGGAAGATGATTTAAAAAAAAAAAAAAAAAAAAAATTATCTCTATTGAATAAATTATCTCTTTTGATAAGACCCAAAAAAAAAAAAAAAAAAAAGGGAGGTTAATTTTATCGAATAAATTATTTCTTTTGACACGACCCATTAAAAATTACCAAAAAATAAAGTTATCACTTTTGATAGAATTGAAAAAAAAAAGAAGTTAATTTTGTAGAATAAATATCTCTTTCGATTGTTTAAAAAAAAACCACTATGGAATAAATTATCTCTTTTGACTGTCAAAAATAAAATTATTAGTGTAGAATAAAAAAAAAAAATTCTTACATGACCTCCGGAAAGAACAAAAAGAAAGAAAAACAAAAAAACAAAAAAAAAAAAAAAAAAAAAAAAAGAAGTAAAGAAGGCAAAAAAACAAAATTAAAGTTGTATAAACGGTAGTTATGATATTATAAATTAAGGAATTGTGCATTAATGTATTGAAGAACCTTCTTATCATTTTCAAAATGTACTGCCATTGAAGAAAAATGGAGTGCGAATATTGTCTCCTTAAATTTATATCTTAATATTTGTACACAAATATGATAAAAGACAAAAAAATTTCTCATGATAGCATTACTCTTACTCTAATCTTAATACAATTCACAGAATCTAAGAGATCGTAAGCTTAAGGGATAATAATTCATATTCCAAAAGTTTAGTAATCCTTTTTAATACGTTTATTTTGCGGAAAAATAGGAATGATACATCCATCTGAGTACAGAATGAGTAACGATATTTGAGTCGAATTGTCCAAGTAAATTGCTTAACCTATTGATTTTTTATTGGTCATCTTTAACAAATTAACTTTCTTATACTGCATACATTATAAATCAAAACTTGTCGATGAAGCGTATCTTTATATTTAATCAGTCTAAATTTTATTTTTCACTCAAAATTTGAAAGATGCCAATTGAGTGTTGTGCTGGTTGAGACATCATGTGATAGGGGCGCATGTCTCCACCCACATATTCTCCGTTCAGCATTCTTTGAATTCGAATGATGTATTGTTGCTCTAAGCCAAATGCATAATTGAATGTCTCTCTAAAAAGGCTTTCACATTACATCTTTGAGTTAGGAGTTCAAATTCTCTTAGGAACTTCAAAAAAATTTCTTGATGATTGTTCAGTGCATGTATTCAGTGATAAATTATTAGGTACTTTTAAGAGACTTGGCGCGACCAAAATAATAATAATAATATTAATTATTATTATTGTAATAGGAGATAGCTAAGAATTTATAAACAATGGTTTTAACTTTTTATGTAGTCCTCTAAATATTTTTCAAAAATAAGATAACATTTTCCATCTTCCATGTACTCTATATCTCTGTTGGTGTCCTTAATGCCCCTCTCCTCTCAGGAATACCAACTCAATCCTCACCTCATTCTTGATTTATTACAATCTGAATCTCACATTTTGTCAAGCTCGGTATGCGTTTTGTTTTTTTGTGCGTTTTATTTTAACTCAACATAATAAGTAATTTGCTATAGAGTGTTTTGAAATCGGAAGAATATTTGGTAATATTTATTTCTTGTAAGATTTAGAGGCGGCTCAATCTAATTTGAGGCCTTAGGCGAAAAATAAAAAGTAACTTTTTTAACAATATAAATAAAACCAGTCACAACTAATTTATAGTAACAAAATTTAATGAAATTAAAAAATAATTAAAGAAAAAGAGCCATTGAACTTGATTTAGAAAACCCAAATCCAATACTTTTACAAAAATTTCAATAGAATATTATCGATATTTAATATTTTAGTATTGTTGTAACTTATCCAAAAATGTTTTTAGTGTTGGTATAAATAACACGTGGAAGAGAGAAAAGAAACAGGGAAAAAAAAAATTAATCATACAGATTTATTGTAAAACGTGAATGAAAATAGAAAAAGGGAGGGAAAAAAAAATCGTATAAGGATATAAATCTTTAGGTCCCAATATTAAATTTATGTATCAATAATAGTTTAACTAAATGAAGGAGGAGAGAGAAAGGATGAAAAAAAAAAAAAAAAAGTTATCTTCTTAGGATATAAATATTTGAGGACTAATATAAAATAGGAATGAATGAGGAGAATAGAGGAAAAAAAAAAAAAAAAAAGAAGTTATTATAGAGAGAAAAAAAGAAGTTATTATAGAATATAAATATTTGAGGTCTAATATAAAATCCAAACGAGTGGGATAGGAAAAAAAAAAAAATTATTTTAGGAGATAAATATTTGAGGCTTAATATAAAATTTTTATATTTATTAGAGTTTAAAAATATTAGGAAATTAATAATTATAGTATAACTTAAAATAAAGAAATTTTAAAATTTTGAGGCCTTCCATAAGCTGAGGCCTTAGGCGATTGCCTAAGTTGCTTAAAGCTCAAGCCGGCCCTGGACTACTAAGATTTTTAAAAGTTAAAAAAAAAAAAAAAAAAACATATTTAGTAAAAAAGTGTTGTACGTTTGAAAAATATAATGGTTAGTATAAAAATTTTCACTTATGAGTTAATCAGAAAAAAAATATAAAATAAAAATAATAATAATAATAATTGTTTACAGTACCAAACTTTATATTGCGAAAACATATAAAACACCAAATTGGTGTTTTGGTTTTTGGCCCACAATTCACGAAATGTTTCAATACTGTGCAAAATAAAACAATTTTTACCAAACACCTTTTTTTACTATTCATTGTTATAGTATTTGACAAAAATAAAAATACTAAACACAAAACGCATACTGAACAGGCCCGAAATAATTACTAATTAAATTTCTTAAACTTAGGAGCAAACCCTCTTGTTAGGTTTGAAAGCATCAGCGAATATGCTCGTGTTCGAATTCCCTCTATCTTATTTTGGAGAGAGAGAGAGAGAGAGAATCACGATTCAAGATAGACTAAGTGTTATATTTGTCATGTGTCATGTCTACATTAAATAATAGAACCTTAGTTGTCTTCTGCAAATTGTACTTGGACATGTGATGTACGAATTGTTAAAATATATATTTATATTCAAGAGATTTGAAACTTAATATTTCAAGGTAGTAATTTTGAGACTACCATTTATTTTCGTTATTTAATTTAATTTAATTTATTTTTTATTAAATTTTTTTTATATAAAATGTGTACAATGGACCAAGTAGGGGAAGATTTGGGACTACCATTTTTATTTTCTTTTTTTATATATTTTTTAATTTGGGACTACCATTCAGAACATTTTAACTTGTACCTTAATCTTGAGATCAATTTTGGGCGATAGCAACTATATGATAAAAATGGTGGGACATTAATCGTATGATTGTCCTTGGTTGTTCATATGTCACCTAGTGAAGGTGAGCTTCCTCACTATGAGTAAAAAGAACATATGATACAAATAAATAATAATACAAAGGAAAATAAAATAAAATAATAAACTTGTTTTTGCTGCGGTTTGATGTGTCAATCAATCATCACTCTAAACCATCTTTGAATTTATATTTTATTTTATTTATTCTTATTTAACATTAACAGGTGTTCTTGCACAAAAAAAAAAAAAAAAAAAAAAAAAAAAAGGAGGATATTAGTCATGTGTCATGACAATGTGGTGGTGATGTTCTTCTTCTTGATCATATCCCTATGCGAAATTGTTGATTTGGTAATCTCTGATCGAATCTCTGCTTGTTTATAATGTATCTTCCTTGCCGGTTAAAAATTATTAATAATAATAATAAATAAATAATATTTTAAGGCAAAAAAAAATAATAATAATAATAATAATAATAATCTACATTATTAAAAAAATTCCTTTCAAATAAATATATATATATTTCAATCCTTTCGTGTTAGTGCTACCCGAGCAATTGGGTTTATTCTCTCTCGCGTCTAAGAGTCATTGTTTGAGCTTTCCCCTCCTCTCTAACCCCTTAACATTCTTACCTTAAAAAATAATAATAATAATAATAATCTACATTATTAAAAAAATTCCAAAATTCATAGATACAATTTGGCACAACCTTTTTGTACTCTCACAAATAAAAGGTGAGGAGTTTAATGATCAATAACACATCCATTGCTAGAATGGAAGCCAACTTCTTAACAAATTTTTTCTCTCTTTTTTATAGTATTACTTTTTCAAGATATAATCAAACATCAATGCAAACATATCACTTAATTTAATAAACTAAATTGAAATAAACTGGAATTTTGGTAAATTATCAGACTTAGAAAATTAAAATTTGAAAACCCATTGTTTATCAAGATCCAAATAACTCCTAGCAATTCAAGTGTTTGACACCAGAAGCCAAATGAAATGTTGGCAAAACTCATTCGCACTTCAAATACCACCATGACCACAAGTGATTTTACCATCAGAATCTGTAAATTTATATTCAACTCAACAGTAACTTCCATGTAAATTAATTATAATGGGAAATAAAACATTTTCGATAAAAATCTTATAAGCACAGAAAAAAAAAAGTGAACATTATTTCTACATTGTTACAGTAAACGCTGTGTACTACATTTCTCTCCCAGGCTTTGTTCCTTTTACCAGCTTCCTTTCATGGGTGATCGACCACGCGCAATTCACAGCGTTCAACAATAAATACGGACAACAATTCACAATTGTCAACAACAAAATAGAAATATCCACAATAGACTGCAATGATACAAGCTTGGCATTCCAACAAGCAGTGATTACAACATCCTAATCAAATCCTGATAACCTTATTTCCGTAACAGCGAGCCTGTGTCCTCCTCAACTCTGCCATGGTGGCACCACCAGAGAAGACAGGTACAGAAGCAATGTCGTTGCATCTCCTAGCAAGACAAGAAGGGCCTATATATACAAACTGAAAGCATCACTTCCGTGAATAAGATCTTCCATGAGAATCTTGAGGCTACATATCAATGGCCTCTGGAAGAGGTTTCGAAGGGTACAGAGGATTCCCGTTAAGCTTGGATTTATCCCTCGTAGTCTTCTGTGAACTAGGAGGTGTCCTTTTGAGAGCAGTTCTACCAAGCGGCTTGGTTGTTTCGGCCCCAACACCTTGCCCTGGTTAAATTAATTCAAGTTACAAAGGGAAGATGTGTGGGAAGATACTGATATATAAAAAAAATTCAACATTCATAATTAGAACTGGCCCTGCAGATCTGTGTGCATTGTATAAATTAAACTACACATTCACAGAATCACAGAAACCATTCAAAGGCTGGACATAGATATTAATTAATTGATTACAACTTTTTTAACAATCGACATATATATATATATATATATATATATATATTTGATAAATAGTGTGATATATATTGATAAAAATGATGATGAGTAACCCATTCAACTATTTACTAAACTAAAAGGACTCAATTAGGTACTTTTTAAAAACCTCATCACCAGAACATAAAATGTTGAACCAGGGAGGTAATGGGTATTACTAATAGTAATCCATATCTCAATTCATCCAGTTCAAATATAGAAAGGCTCACTTCCACCAACATTTATATGGGGAAATATTAGCAGGGACGACAACCATGTACGAGAGAGAGAGAGAGAGAGAGAGATAGAGAGAGAGAGAGAGAGAGAGAGAGAGAGAACAACTCACTGTTATTAGGCAGAGAGAATCGCTTCTTTGCCTGTTTATCAGGATGTGTGGATCTCTCTTTAGGATTGCTGTGTGATCTTAAACTGATAATGGGTATTGAGGTAGCTTCTTCAATCGAATCTTCAACAAATGGCTTAGTTTTTGGCTTGGTAAACAGTGTGGTAGATGCCTCTTGCATGTTTGACGTCTTGCTAGGTGAAGAACCAGAGCCATCGGAATGAGATGGACCTGTTCTTTGATTTGAAAGATTTGAGTGAACGTTTGAAGATGTGGGTTTCTTTCCGGCAGATTTTAACTGCATCCTGGCACCACTCTTTCCATCAGGGGATCCATTCTCACAAATCTTTACTCCATCTCTGAGATTAATGTCCAGAAAGCGGTTTTCCCATGGACGAACAGCCATCCATCTTTCCAACCAGTTCCAGCCCCAGTTGCTTTTATCTGGTTCAAACATAGAGGGAGCTGCCTGCTGCCTTGATCCTGCCTGCCACTGCAGCACACAAATTGATCTTATTCTTAAGCATGCGTAAATAATGAATAATAAAAGCATGAATAAAAGCAGAAGAGCCCAACTTCTTCAGTACTTAATGCTATTTAAAATTCCACTTGCATAACGCAAATTCCTGAAGGTGTGAAATTAGCTGAGAGAGAGAGTATGAACAGGCAAGAAAATGTTCTTCATTAGAGGTTGTAGAGGCTATATGAATAAGTTAAATAATGACAAGGAAATAAATTACCATGGATGTCTATTCGGAGTGACTGAAATAATTATTAAATTTAGCACGTTCTGGTCAATTAGACATCTTATGACAACATCATAATGACAGTTTATTCCCAACCAATCCTATCCTAGGCCAAGACCCTGCTTTGCTTCAATGACAATTTTAGTATCGGAACAATCTTGGAGTAATTATAGAGGAAATGCCAAATGTTGCCACTTGGCAAAGAATTTGGAGAGAAAGGAACTGTGACATAGGACTAAATGAATGAAAAAGAGAGAAATAAAAAATACCATAAGGACCACATACGATGAGCGTAGCACCTAGTATCAATAAAGCCAACATTTCATTGGAAATTGCATGCCAGGTGATAAAATTAAAATGTAACAACAATCTGCTTAACCTACTGCAACTGATAAAGCAAGTTATCTGATAGACAACACATGCTATTGACACCTATAGCCACTTTAGTAAAATTACAGTAAGTGTTAATAATTTAAGCATATTGGCTATGATATATTCCCAAAATCTTGTTGGTTCAGTACAAATCTAGAGGGTTACTTTTATTAATGAGTTATTGAATTTTTTTTGTTGATCACCATCACTCTAAAAGCTAAAGTTGTGCAACTTAAGTATTTATTCCTCAAACAAGTAGGGCTGCAAATGAATCGAGCCGTTCATGAACAGCTCGGGCTCAGCTCGTTAAAAGCTCAGCTCGGGCTCGTTCGTTTAGTAAATGAGCTGAGCTCGAGCTCAATTTTCAGGCTCGTTTAGTAAACGAGCCGAGCTCGAGCAACCTTGAGCTCGGCTTGTGAACAAGCTCATTAAGTTAAAGGCCAATTTTTAATATTATTCTACATTTAAAATGTTGAGCCCATATTCTGTATTTTAAAATGTTTATAGTCCATTGGTCCAATTTACACCATTTCATTAATAAGGCCCAGAGTCTTGTAATTAGTTAGCCCATAATCCAAATAAGATTGAATATCAGCCATTAATATGGAATCCATCTCAGCCATTGATTTGCTAAAGCTAAAAAGAGATAAGGATGCCCTAGAAGCAGAAGTGTACAGCGGCACGTTCTCTTCACTTCCGAATGATCTTGCCGGCGGTCCCCATTATGCGACACAAAGCTCATCTCTCTCTAATGCATCTTAAGGTCGACTGGTCGAGTAGTGGAACAATAGTGTAGATCAGGGATAAAACTTTAGAAGGTTAGATTTCATTTTGAATTTTTTTCTGTTTTTCTATTTTTTTTCTTTCTTGAAGTGCGAATGGATTTCTTTCTTGTTGGAGATGGAGATAAGATTTCATCGATTCAAGGTTTGATTTCTTTCTGGTCCAAGATGGGGATCGAATTTCATGGAAGAGGTAGTGATTTCTTGAATCAATGATGGTTGGGTATGCAACCGATCCCGAGCCGAGCCCAAGCTCATTGATTTTCTGCCGACCCAAGCCCGAGCCTAGTTAGGCCAAGCTCGGCCGAGCCCGAGCACCTCTAGGTAGATAACAAGCCGAGCCTGAGCAACCCAAAGCTCGGCTCGGTTCAATTGCAGCCCTACAAACAAGTAATTCCCCACCATCACAAAGCAACAACAACAACAACAAAAAAAAAAAAAAAGTAAAAAACCACCACCACCACCACACATGCACAGAAAAATGTGAGGCCAGACTTCTTATCATGAGTGGGTCCAAACGTGTATAAAATATAAATTATGTTTTACTCAGAATTACTAACAAATGAAAATATTATAAATCACATTAATTATGTTTTACTCAGATTCTCTGGTTTTCTCATAATTATATCTTATTTATCAACTTAAAGATTTACAAATTATGTATAAGCAATTCTAGAACTCGATATATCCCACAATATCAACATTGAAAACTACAAAGAATATCTGTATAACATGTCAAAGCAAAATCTAAGTACTTAGGGCTCAATACCAATAGTTTGTTCAAGATAGAACGCTCAACAAGAAGGTGAATACTCAAAGTTCCTATTGATTTACCACTGTTATAAGCCCCTGACAACAATTAGTAGTCCACCATTCCTTTTAGGGATGTCCCAAATTAAATGTCGTATTTTGTTTTCAAAACTAAAAGCATTCTTTCCATTATTACCCTTTAACTTTTAAAAAATCTCTCATCTTAATAAAACACATATTTGAATTTAAAAGGACAACTTTGCAATTTTAAAAGGGGACAATGCAATAATTGCATGTCCCTTAAAAAGTTCTACTCCCTAAAATGGACAACTAATATGGGACGGAGGGATTATTAATGAAAAGCAAATCACCGGTCAAACTTGATAAATTTGCATGGTTGAAAAATTAAAATTTACTCTCATGATGAACCATAACTTTATAATACCAGATTTGGATCGAAAATATTTTTATTGAAGCTTTCTTTTAGGACCACCATGAATAATTTCAGCACCTTTCGAAAGTGTTATGAAGACACATTAATTAAATGATCAAGAAGCATGCACAAATTTTCATTGGTGGGTAACAATGGTTTATTGTCTTGGGATGCAGCGAGGTTCGCATTCATGGCAAATTAGAGACTGACTGTAGGCTTTAAGCATACAAACATTAGGAATGAATTAAAAAGATATGTACAATACTAAAAGTGAAAACTCGAGAAGATATAATTAATTCATTATAATATTTTGAAAACCTAGTAATATATTTCAGATCAAAAACCTAACATCAAAAGTCAAATATACATTTAAGGTTAAGTTAACTGCAGGTGCTCTAACATTTATAATTTTTCTTCATTGCTCTTTTCCCAATCTGAACCTTGCTTTCTGATAAGTACTAGTGTCTTCTTATTTTAAAAACAGAACTTGTCATATTAGGTTCTTGATAAGAAGAGTATAATATTTTTACCTGGTGAGTGAGAGCATATGCCATAGCTCTCTCACGCTTGGCCGCTGCTTCCTGCCTCTTTAACAACTTGGCTTGAATCTCCTCAACAGATCCTACACTGTCACACCATCCTTCCTGTGTCACAATTACAACAAATGAGAAGCATTCAAGAAGCCTAATAAAAAGTAAGATGACATGTATCAAGAAAGGGTAAGGCAGAAGAAACACTGTTTAATAATTGACATTTAAAACAATACAATTTCACAGAAGTACTTAATTTGTATGAGTATCATATAACTATCCATTGTCCTTCACTACATCGAGCACAACTAGGATATCTAGGGAAGCATGGGCCCGCAAAAAGGTCTCTCCAGACAATTTAAACAGCTACAATCTTTTTATTTGTGCTACTGGATCTGAGCCCTTTTGTTTAGCTATCTTTGGTTTGGCACTATTTCAACCATCAATAATCTGACCTGAAAACTCAAATTCATTCGATATAAGTTTTATTTATCACATGAAATAGAACCTTCTGCCAACTCCCAGCACCTTTCATCCTATGTAAGTGCATTATCCCCAAATCAGAATATCACAATACCCTGCACCTTGGAGAGCGTCTTCTACACTTTAGCCTCATCAACTCCTGTTAATCTCCCTTTCTGCTTTTCTTTTAAGAGTTCCAAGACCTTTTCAGGGGCTCCTTTTCCTTGTGCATTTCTGTATGCTAGAATTAACTTCCACATCTTCAACAATCCAACTAAGAAATTTCTCAGAAGGTGTGGATCCTCTTTCACTATCACCTGTTACACGTTTCATAAAAAACATATTGTGCAATTCTCTGTTTCATTGTAACAATTCTTAATCAATTAAAAATATATATTCCCGTTCCTTTAAAATTTTAACAAGAACTGCTTTCATGTTGTCCATCACTATCTATATGAAATTTTAATTTTGTGTCTCTGCATAGCATGCAGCATTAACCCTAATTAGATCCACTGCTGTTTTTCACATGTCTAGGTGATTTACATGGTAACCGGAAATTTCTCATTTTTTGGAACTGATAGGGGCAATTCCTACAGGCTCTGGCACAAAGTAATGGAAAGTCATAACCACTTTTGATAGTTCTTTTCCATAGAAACTTTGGAGAATGAGTTCACTTGATTTTAATTTAGTATTTACAGATATAGAATCATCAAGGGATAAAGCTATCAGAATTTCATAAGCGTGGGACTTTTATATTTTATTGAATTAAACATCTTCTAAGCCTTTAAGGGACCACTAGTTTATGTATTTTTTATCAATGGAATTGATTACTCATCAAGCATTCAAATAAAATTGGATTAATTAAATGATATTATTATTTTTGCCTCTTTCTTCTCATTCTATGTGATCCTTGCTGAATGGGCCATCCATGTGAATGAGTTATATATCAACAAGGGGGCAATCAGATTCGAACATAGGACACACCAGTCTGATACCATGTGAACAACAGATTTCTCTGAAAGCTTAGTTATTATAGAGGGAAATGTAATAATACATTTCAGTAACTAAATCTAAGGAGGGAAATGTAATAATACTTTTCAACAACTAAATCTAACCAGATTTAATATTTTGGTTCGTTGCAGTTTTCGTGCCTTATGCAAGGCGAAGAACTGTAACAAGAAAGTTATGATCATAATAGCACAAAATCAAATCAATGTCGGTGCTTCATTGAGAAGTTTGAGAGAATACTAAAAAGAAAAACAGTGCAGCTAGTTCAATTACTTGGAACAGTTTCAGAAAGTAAAAGATGTCATAAGTTCAACAAATGATCTAACTTATCCACCATCCTCCAAAGAAGATGTTTTTGACCTGTAATATTTTATCCGCATCATGGACTCCAAATCTTCAAAAGTTCTCCTATTCTTTGCCCAAACATTCCTGCATAACACAAACAAAACCCCCCCTCCAAACTCTTATTGTCCTCTTAATTTTAGCAATAGCAAGCATCTGAAAAGAAACACCCACCATAAAAGGCAGAACCATTAAAATTTTGAATAATAGAATAAAAAGACCATAGACCTTGAGCTGCAGGTAGAAAAATGATCCACACGTTCCATGGCCTCCATACCATGACACACCAATTTGGAATTTGAATAGTTCCAACTTTCTACTATTAAATGTTCCTTAGTCATCCGTCCCACCCACCAACCATGAAAAGAGCATTACCTTGGAAGAAAGCAATGAGTACTCCACTCACTCCATTCGAAAACTTAAATCTCTCATATTCAAAAGACTTGAAGAAAACCAATACATATCCCATAAATGTTAACCCTCAAAACAATCATGTCCTCAGCGTCCCTGATTCAATTTTACCTGGAAAATATTTGAAATAAAGCCACCATTTGCTAGCTTATGGATAGTTTCATAAATTTTTCAAACAATATGCAATGTGTCTCTTTCAGAACCCAACTCCTGAAAATCCTCAACCCACATCCTCTTTGTCCGCTGAAATGTCAAAAAGGTCAGCGAACTTCCTCCATCAGTCTATCTCCCATCCATCTTATTCAAAATTAAAGCCCACCTTCATAGAAATTATCTACCCCATTCAATAGAGCTTTCTAAAGCACCCATCCAGGAATATCCAACAGTCTTCTTCCTCCAATTGCTGTCTCAACACAGTATTTACTCCAGTTTCCCTCCCCAAACTCTAGTATTCCACGGAGAATCTCCAAACCCAATTATGCAGGAGCACTTGATTCGTGACTAATAAGAAATTAAGACACTCATACCAAACAAATAAACCTTGTAGGACTTCTCTTCAAAAACCTCTAAACATAATACGACCTATCAATATTATAAAACCCAGACCATCAACCTTATATATATGGGCCGCCTCAGACATATATTGACAACAACGGCAAAGCAGATGTTAATGATGCACTTATATCCCTGTTCTTCTCATTCTATGCACTTGTTGAGCTATGAAATACTTTACTTTAAAAAATATTCTCTTAGATCCACTTAACAAAAATTCTATTGTGAAGAAAAAAATTACACTTTATAAAAATTTTAACATTTATTATCGTAATATTAATTGGGCCCCCAAGAAAAAGTTCCTGAGTCTAACCTCTCCCCCACCAAACAACACACACACAAGCTTGCATTCTGTCTTTCCTTTTTGACGAAAAAAGAAAAAACAGATCATGTGATACTTAAAATAATCCACGGTCTGATAGAAACCTTGCAAATCATACTCTCTACATAATATATCGAATTTGATTCTTTTACATTTTAAAATGCAAGAACAACTAACTGAAAAAAAAAAATGCAAGGAAGTATTGGCAAATATTGTAATCATTATAAAAAGAGACTTTAAATATTTAAGTGAGAGTATCCTAGGGCTGCTTGCCTCTATTTCTCGAACACGAGCCTCGTGTTCCAGCTGTTGCTGAAGTTTCTGTTGTTCTGTCTGACTTTCCAAGGACATACGGACACGCCTAGCGCGTACACGAGCCTGAACTCTGACTAAAGCTTGCATACAACGAAGAGTAATTGCAGCTTGTTTTCTCACAGCATGACCCCTTACAAGGGCTTGAAGTCTTACTAATCCTTTCAATGCCCGCAGAGCACGCCTAGCCTGAAATTTATCGCCAAAACACTTCAATATCATCCAAATGTCAAAACTGAAGTACTAACACAAATTTTATGCAGGAAAAAAAACCCCAAAAAGAAGAAAATAAATAAATACAGGAGCAATACAGTAATACTAATAATGTAGTTCCTCCTTAAATATTTAGAGTTGTTGAATTCGGAGTAGAAAAACTTTACTTATATCACTAGATGGTAACCATGTCTACATAATTATCCATTATATATTGACATAGACCATAGAAACACTATACTATCTTTAGCACATTTCTCTGCATATCATTGTCCTTCCACAAATATATAATCTTATTACCAAATACTAAGTAACAACAAGATCAAGGCCCACTAATATTGATAACTGGAACCAAAATAGAGCAGTATGTGACTTTCCCATAAACATACCCATTAATTGTTTAGAAACAACCCAATTCCAAACTTCACTATGTTTAAAACCATCAAGCCAGTGAGAGAAAATGCGGGTTCTGTGAACTCAAGATACTAAAAGGTGAGTAGAAAATGCAAAAGGATAAAAGAAAGTACAGAGAATTAAAGAGAATAATATCTCATCATGTGTAAACAGCATGTTCTTGATTTAGAGGAGTTGAAAAAAGGAAGATTGGATCATTTTCATTAGCAATGCACCCGTGTTTATGGCAGTAGAGTAAATAACCTGTAAGTCTGTACTTTTACTGTATCAGTTCATAACCTGACTGGGATAAAGAAGAGAAAAGTGAAAACTTACAGCATGTGAACTCTTAAAAATAAGGACTACAATCTAGAAAACCTAAAATTACTTAAAGAGAAAACGAATCAACAAAAAACCAGTTAATGCCAACTAGGGACAGCTAAACGATAAACTGTAGCATTCGGTACCAGAAATCCTCGAAAAGCTGTCTGAATGAATGTAGCTGCCCATTCTTCTTTCATATTCTGTTCAATTTGAGCTGCATCCTGCACTGTAAGTGAACAAGAAGGGGAGCAAACGGCATCTGGGACTGAATCGATGCTAGCATCTTCAACTGGTGGAGCAGCATTTTGATTGAATTCATCTTGAACTATGTCAGTATCAAACTCAACAGAATGCTTTCTCCGGTGCCAGAACTTTCCAGTACCCACCATTCTCTGCATTATAAAACATGAGATTAAATATGATGCTGATTCAACGAACAGGTTTACATTTTACATCTGGAACTAAATTGACATATAACAAGTTCTTTATAGGGTGAAGAGTGATAACAAATTTATTTTATTTTCAAGGCAGATGCTCCAAGATATAAGATGGAAGTTCCTTTTCTTTCGTCTTAAGCAAAATTTGAGAATAACTAACACCACAGCCAAGAAGGAAATGAACATATTTTGAAAACAGCATAGAAGAAAATGAAATTTCATTGAAAAAGATACCCACATTTTCATCCTTTTCAGAAGATTGTGACTTCTCTGATTTCTTTAAACCAACCAATGCTTTAATCCATTTTCCTGACACACCCATTATGATAGTCACTTTAGCTCTGCCAAATTAGGACCTGGCACAGAAAAGTATTTACAATTTAGTAAATATAATGAGCATCTCATATATAATAACTTCATTAGCAGTAAAATAAAATCAAAGATAATGAGAAGAACGTCAAAGTAACTAAGCTTTCGCGGACATAGACTACATCTTTAGTGGAATAGGCTTCTTAGGAAAACAGCAAAGGAAAAGCTTAAGTAGCACTCAGTATCAGGAGGGATCTGGAAGCTGTACTCATCCAACAAGGACACGAGTATAAAACTTAAATAATAGGCCCATGCCTTAAGATGCCTCTTCACACTTGGCATGTAGTATCACATATCCAAAATGAAACATTACGATCATGAACTTGAGGCACACTACTGGAACACTGCACCATATCTACACCCTGTCACGAATGAGAGAAAATTGATGATTGCATCTTATCTTCTCCTAATTGAACTATTGTAAATGAACATTTAAGTGACGGCACTACTACAAAACCGAACAGTGTTTGTCTGAATACTAACGCCCAATCAGTTTTCTGTTGGTGGATGATTGGATGAGAGACCTACCTCTACTGGATACAAAAAATGCATTTTGCTACTACAAAACCGGACAGTGTTTGTCTGAATACTAACGACCAATCAGTTTTCTGTTGGTGGATGATTGGATGAGAGACCTACCTCTACTGGATACAAAAAATGCATTTTGTTATAGAGTACCATCTCATCCCGATCCAAGAAAAAATAATTATAAAGCACCTATTCAATGAAATAACTAAATTATTATGAATAGCTATTAGAATGCAGTTCGGAGTAACACCTAGGCAATTCTAGGTGATTACCCCAAACAGCTAATTCATCATCGCAAACTTAATTCCATATCTTTTCAGGCTTCCAGCTGAAAGACAAATATGGTTGCATATTGTTATATGATTTCTAAAAGTAGGGTGGTTTAAGACATTCATGAGACTTCTTCCCAGACTTTGAACCAATGATATATATTTGAAGAATACTATCTTTTTTTTGGCATACACATCCTTACAAAAAGTTGGTGTCAGTCATTCAAGCCGGTTTAGTGCTCCAAGCGACTGGTCCAAACAACTATGAATCATCCACTCAATCCCCTCTTGACAGTTGTATTGATTTCTAGCAGTATTATGCAAAATAAATAACCATACTAGCCCTTCAATCACCTCAGTTTGAGCTATGAATCCCTTTTATGACAACAAAAAAAAAAATGCCTCTAATTGCCTACCTTTCAAGCCCTTAAGCCTTCATTTTCTCTTACTGTCTAAAAATTCCAGCAAGCTTTCTTTTTGATTTCAAATAAAAATTGGCTTTAAAACCTTTACCAATTTATCCTGACTCCAACCTAAAACCTTCAGCCTGTCTTCTCAACCATTAACTCCAAAAACCAAACATAGCACCCGTCATTATTTGATGGTGGACAGCCTTTTCATTAATAATGGTTTAATCCTGCATCAATTAGCTTATCACAACCAAGATCTTGCTCAGGATATGGACAACATTTCAGTGAGTTAAAGCCAAAAATTAGGGCAATCCTTCTTAGTTTATGACAACCAATGAAATAAATGCCCAAGATCTCACCCAGGATACGGACAACATATCAGTGAGTAAAGCCAAAATTTAGGGCTATGGTTCCTCTTTTCCTTGTTAGGAGGAATTACATCTTCCCCAAGTCAAATTTTAGTTGGTGACAATATCGTTATTTTTTAATTATCTAAGCAATATGAGGTCCAAGTTGATGCATTGTGACGTTTTGTACAGTAAGTGGAAACTATTGCAGCTACTATTGAGATATCTCTCAATATGTTGCTAGATATTGACGAATTCAAAAAGTTTCCTCTTTAACTTTTCTCTACTTCTCAGTAATGATGAATTCAAAAAGCTTCCTCTTTAACTTTTCTCTATTTCTCAGTAATGATGGAACTTTTTACGGCTTTTTATTATTCTAATGATATACAACACAAAAGAATAATAAAACTCTCTCTCGCTTGTAAAATGTAATAGTAGTGATTTGTTTCTCCATTGTGTTCTTTTAAATGAACACATCAATTTGTAGCCTTATTTTCTTTTGCATTCACAATTTTTTGTTTCAACTACCAAAAGTTGAGTCTCTAATGATTTATAATAGAGGGAGACACGTTTATTAATTAATAGAATTACAAAGTAGTGATTTTTATTTTTTTCCAAGTCTCAAGTAGTCAAGAACATTTTTATTTTCTACTTAAACTACAAGTAGAAAATACCGTCCAGAGAAGGTGGAGACACTGGAGATGAGTGGGAGTTGGGGGATTTTGTGGTAGCGCATGGCAGAGATGAGGATGGTGGAATAGGAGAAGAGAGCTTTGGATAGGGAAGGAAATGGATTTCTGGGGGAGTTAAGGTGAAGAGGGAAAATCTTCCCTCTAAAGTTTGGTGGTGGTGGTTCATGACAGGTTCATGGTGGTAGTGGTTCGCCAGAATGTCTCGCCGGAGAGGATGGATTCGCGGGTGGGTGGTGGTGGAGGAGGGGCAGTGGTGGTGGGGGGTTGGGGGGGAAGAGATTTCACTGAAGGCATTTTGGGCCGTGACATTATTTTTAGAGATATAGAGAGAGAGGTAATCAGGAATATAGGTGGGGTAATTTGGACCCAAATGTATAGGTGCTTGTCAAATACGAAATTACTTGTGTATAAGTTGAGAAATACGAAATTACATTGTGGGAAGTGACTTTGGACACCAATACTATTTGAATTTAGTCAATTTTTAAATATAAGCTTCAAAAGTTGTCAAAAGTTAAATTTTCCCTAAAATATTGTCCAAATACAAAAAAATTGTCATTTTGCTACTAATTTCCATAACTTTTTCACAATGATGATATTCAATATTTCCATCAACATCTCAAACTGAAAATCTTGATATGACAATAGATATTGAGGTGAGAATTCCAAAAGGGGTTGGTGTTTGGAAGTACATCCGCAAGAGGTGGGATGAACTTTCTAAACACATCATGTTCAAAGTTTGTGATGGGAGGGGAATTCAATTCTGGGAGCACATTTGGTCCGGTGATCGCTCTCTGGCTTGCTCTTATCCTATAGGATTGCTGTCGCCTTGGTGGCCGACTGTTATCGACTTGATAATGGTAGGACGACTTGGAATGTTCAATTCTTGAGGCATTTTCAGGTTTAAGTTTTCGGAGCTTCTGTATCGCTAGGAGATTGTAGGTAGTGGGTTGGACTCTCGGATTTGGATGCCCTCTCCTCAGGGGCACTTTGATGTTCGTTCTCTCTATAGAAGCCTCACAAACCCTCCAGGTCAGGAATTCCTGTGGAAATCTGTTTGGAGCTCAAAGGCTCCCCTAAAGGTGGCCTTTTTTGTTTGGACAGCAGTTCTTGGGCGGATTTTGACTTTGGATAATCTCAAAAGGAGAAGACAAGTGGTTGTCAATTGTTGCGGCCCGTGTAAGAGAGATGAAGAGACAGTAGATCACCTTCTTCTGCATCGTCCATTGGCCTAGGATTGCTGGAGCTTATTGCTGGGTCTGTTGGATGCAGTGGGTCATGTGTCGTTCCTCTAGAGGCTTGATGGAGGCTTGGAGAGGATGTACAGTGGATGCCCAAGCTCTGGACTTTTGGAGGGTTACTCCCTTATGTGTTTGGTGGTGTTTATGGGTAGAACAGAATAGGAGATCTTTTGCGGGTGAGGAGACTACTGTTGGGGCGCTAGAGTTCTCTATCTTTAGTTCTATCTGTTGTTGGGTCCTTGGGAGGAATTGGAAATCCATAGGGGAGATACTTGATTTTTTTGGACTCGTTGAGAGTTTAGGGGCCCTATTTGGCCTTGTGTAGATTCCTTGGAATGCGATCCTCGTTTGATGGCTTTTTCATATATTTACTTATCATAAAAATATATAATCAGATATTTCAACCATAGATATGTATTCCATTTTGGTGCCTTTTTATTTCACCATAGGAATGGAATGTACTGCTATTGGAGTGTTTTGGCATATAGTTGGAATAACCATCATAAACAATACTTATTTATCATTCAAATGCCACATATAATGATGTATATAGTGAGAAGGAATATAAAATTGCCTTCAACAAGTAATGTCCATGATGAATGTAACAGCTAAAATAATATTATTGGAACGAAAAACTTGGAGAAGATCATGGATACTACTACTAAATAAATTAGATTTGATTTCCGGATGAGTAATAAAAATGAGGCGAATCTTAAATTATTTTGAAAAAATAAAGAAACTCCAAAAGATGAAAACCTATTAATGTTAATAAAGCAATAAAGAAACCTATGAGCTGGCTGATAACAAACACAGAAAGGTGGAGAGCTGGAGTCATGATCAATGAAACCAAGGCTTGTAGCTAGGGTTTCTACCAAGAGAAAATCCTTCAAATTGATATGTTGAAGCACCTAGATGGTGCATTAAGATATAAAGGAAACCATCAATGACTTGTCTGTTCGGTGGTACTGAGTTAGCCCTGAGACGCTTAAATTGATGTGGGATAAGGGTTCAGTTTGACATGGGGGAATATTTCCGCAACAAGGGAATGCACGCATTAACAATCTATAATGCTTTTAGAAAACATGCGGTGGCATATCGACAAATGTCATTATTGTTACACCGACACCAGGCCGTGAGGCTTTCCCAGGGGATGTTTTCTATTTACATTCTCGTCTCTTAGAAAGAGCGGTTAAACGATTGGACCACACGGGCGCAGGTAGCTTGACCGCCTTACCTGTCATTGAAATACAAGTTGGAGACATACTGGCCAATATTCCCACCAATGTAATCCCAATTACTGATTTAGAAATAATGGATAATAAAAAAATCTAAAGGAAACCTGTTAATAATCTTCCCTTTTTTATTTTTATCTTCTGATAAGTAACGTATTTGTAGAAGAGTGCTTTTACAAAATGCCTATAAAGTTAATTATGATTACAAAAGAACCAAACATCAATTTTCCTACAGCGAACCAGCCAAGGAATCAATTTCCTCCTGAAATATCCAAAAACATACCAGAATAGGCACGATACTTGAACCAATCTGGAATTTTCATAAGAATGAAACAGAATTTTGTTACTTTTTTTCTCACAGGATTAGAATCTTTCAGCATGTTTTGGCATTGCAATATAACGCAATTCATAACCAAAATACTATTTGAATATTTTACCACCAAAATTATACATATATATATATATATATATATATATCATATTAAAGAAGTTACTTTACAGGAAATAAAGTCTTAGGTTGTAAGCATATTTATGCCAGCATCCGATGAGTTGAAGATGCGGACTACCTATCTGCACCTGGGCAGAAAGGACCCATGAAACTTCTCCTACACGGGGAGAGGGAACCATTCCTTCATGCTCGCCTGGT